GAGTGTATAAGAGTTGTAGAAACATTTTTTTCCTTTTTAAATGTCTTGACAAGATCATAGAGTGAATCATTACAGTCAGAATAGAAAGAATTCAGATTTAAAAGTGCTTTTCAAGTCTTCAAGTTCAAGTTGAGTCCCAAGTCTTAGTCCATTTTATCAAGTCAAGTCTCAAGTCCTAAAAATAGTGACTCAAGTTTGGCTCGAGTCCAAGTCACGACTTGCAGGTCCCTACGTCTGTTCTTTACTGTTGGCAGGGATCAAATTGGTCAATAATAGGGACTTCAGGGACATTTCTTGTATAAAACTGGGACAAATCACTGTTTTTTGATAAATCTGCTGGGACAGGGGACACAGGGCTCAAAACTGGGACTGTCCCGGGTAAATAGGGACATCTGGTCACTCTACATTATTCAGACTAATGCCGCTGTGGCCAGGTTAGCTTCACCAACTCCCCTCACACACCCACGCGCACTGTTCATTGTCGAACTGCCCTTTTTGGACGAAGCACAACTACTGCGGCGTCCAAAATGGAACGCTTTAATAAGTAAAGTGTCTCGACCTTCACTCACCGCCGCCATCTTGTTTGTTTACATCTCTCTGTCATTCCCTTTGGTGATTTAGCGACCGCACGTGCATCCATCACGGACACAATGCTAAACTGCGCCGGCTCTCCGCAGCTGTCCGCCCTCGCAGCAGGCAGATGGGGGACGTTTGTTCATTAGAGATATTTCTTCATTAGCGTCATTGGGGGGACTGCTCTTAATGCTTGTTTTTCCAGCGCGGCGGCTAACGAGGGCGCGTTTGTTAAAGTGATGGAGGAGCGGGACGGCGTGGCGGGGGCCTTTAGCTTTAGCGACGGCAGAGGCGGGCCGGGGTCGGGTTAGGAGGAAACGCCAACTCGGCTGATAACGTCAAGGTCGAGGCAACGGAGCAGAGGTGGACGCTCTGAGTGGGATGAGGGTTAGGATTAGGTTGGATTTGTTTTTACAGAAATAATGGGGTTGCAATTAACATCTATTTTAGTAGACTATTCATTTTCACTCATTAAAAAAGAAATAGTTTATCTTTAATGGTCATATTGATGCATCTCCTGCATATATAAATCAAGCACCGAGGTTTCAAAATGGCTGCCCATTCAAGTCAAAGGGCCGAGCTCAATGGTGCATGGCTCCAGATGATTTCTTTGGCCCGGCGAGGTACTTCTGGTGGCTCTGAGTCGATTGAGCATGTGCAGTAGTGCTCTTTTCTCCCGCCGTCTCGTTCATCACGTGATCTCTTTGACCAATCAGAGCGAGAAGAGCTAAAGCGGAGTCGGAGATAACGATTATAAAGCCTTTTTTTAAAACAACTGAAGGATTTTTGAGTTGAGAAAAAGTTTATGTTTTCAAAAATTGGTAATAATCACCCCAAATTCCGACATTTTTTGAACGTTGTAGGTGCCCTGTCAGCCAAACATGAGCAGTTTGTGATTACTTTGCACTCTAAGAGAAAAATCCTGTCTCAGCCCAGGGATTTTTTTTCGCTGAAGTTCCAGTGAGTGACCAGTACGCAATACCCTATCCAGTTATTTTAATAGATCCATGATATAAATGGACATAGTTAAAGGTTGTATAGAGGATTTTTTTAAGGGAAGAGAAATACAGCGACAGTCCTTGTGCGCATTCAGAATTACTGTTGAAGTTTCCTGTCTAGAAGTAATTCAGCGACCGACGCGTCAGTTTTTAGACGCTTCGTCTGCTTCGGTTGCGCCATCGCTGGACGAGATCTCCAAGAATCACCTCAGTTTGGCTTTGCTCCTTTTCCTCTTCTCTTCTTCTTTCAGCGACCTCAAAAACTGACTTTCTTTTGCGGCGAACCGGTCGTGGATTCTCGTCCGCCGTCGCGACAAACTTTGTGCGAAATGCGAGGAAGCGACAGTTCGAAAATGCCTCTAAGAACCACTGCATAAACCACGTAATCCCCGCGCTCCGACGAGTCAGTTACACTAGGGAGTTTGATTGACAACCGAACAGCCAATAGAAAATGAGGGAGCCTCGTTTTCTATTGGCTGATGTTTATCTGGCCTCAACACGTCCACAGTTGATAGATTTTCGTTCTTTTTTTTTTGGTCATCATAATTACAAGACTGCTGCATCTCTGTAATGGTATTTTAAACTTTCACTGACAGTTTGAAACAAAAAAAAATCCTCCATACAACCTTTAACTCGTCAGCCGCCGTGTTACAATAGGAAGTGTTCATGGGCGCACTTCTGGCTCCTTCTACTCTGGCACCAATTCACTTTACATTGGAAAAATTGTCACCCGTCTCTGTAACTGCTGCAGTGAGCCTTGTCATTTTGGTCTTAAAATGTTCATTTTAACCCGCTCTACGTGATCCTGGGGTTTTAAATTTTGCTATTTTGTCTGTAAATCAATTCTAATATGGATCTGGCTCCAAACCCGCTCCTATAACCTCTAGCATCGTGAGCTTCATTTGACTGGAACCGAACGCTATGGGTGATGTCAGACTCCTTTACTCCACTTCTTCATACAGTCTATATTTTGATGGCATGTTTGATGGCATGGTTTTGATGTCAACAACATGGCATAATTATTAACAGTTATTCATATAGTTTTAGTAGTTGATTTATCACTACTATTATTATTCAATTAATCAGGGCCCTACATAGTTGTCTGAACAATAAAAGGAATGCACAGACTATTTTTGCTCATATCTGTACTGTATTTTTGAGCAAAATTCCTTGATTTACAGGCCAATTGTTTGTTTTTTCATATTACTAATGGATATAGTTTATAGATCAAACAATACTGATGGATTAGAAACCAGAGAAACTGATGGTCGATAAGCCCCGACGATATTTAGGGTTGATATTTTTGGGTAAATTGATCTTATTTTCCTCAAATTAATCCTACTTAAATTGAAAAGAAACTCATCCACGGCCTTGTTTTAGTACAGACGGGATAAGAGAGCAGTGCCCTCTTCACACAAAAGTACTCAAAAAAAAATTTACACTTATTTTCTGGTTAGCCCAAATAAAATTATCGGCTTCAATTGGAGATTTACAGCCAATAGCCGATACACAAATAAAAAGCCTGATCGATGGGCTATGGGATATAGACAATCTAGTCTATATCAAAGAAAATACATGTTGTTATTCGCTTTTTTCTTTTTACAACTACAACTTATTGAACCGTCTTGACTTTGCCATAGAGTCATGTTTTCTTATTGTGTTTAAATTTGGTAGTTTTGACTTCAACAAAACTGTTCCAAAAAACAAAACAAAAAAAGCTTGATTCTTGTCACCTTCACAGTTCTCAATTCTGTCTCTGCCAAACTGCAAAAAATATGTACTTTTTATTTCAGGCAGGGTTTAAAGGTTACACAGTGCTGCTTTAATTGAACAAAGAAAGCGTTTCATGCAGTAATTAAGATTTGCAATGATGTCTCTATGCCATGGGTGAACGCTGAAGCTCAGATCATTATAGAAAGTAATTTAAAGTAACACATTTATTCATAAGTCCATTTCTTTTTAACTATGCCAGCCTCACTGTACTATTTTAATATATGGTCTGTTTGTACAGTCTCATCCCTGAAAGAAGTGGAGGTCGTTGAATTCCTCAGTTAACATTTTCTTAAAGTAAAAAAAAAAAAGTCAAACTTCATAACCTTCACATCAGCACATTGGTGAGGATAAGCTACAAGGCTCCGCTCAATGACAAAATATGAATTTGAAGAAGAAACGAAACCACAAGGCCAAATTACTGATCAGGTCCCTATGGAGTAAGAAAGTTGTCCTCAATAAATAATGCCTGTAAAGTCATAATGTATTTTTGACAGTAAAGTTGTGTCTGTGAATTTGTATTCATACTGAAGAAAGCGTAATCATACATTTTCGTGATTTTTGTAATTCTTTATGTTGTAACTTTTCAATTCATATTCTGATGGATAAAATACACACAACACATTTTGCGCACGACTGGACTCAATCGAGAGTTTACGAATATTTATTTTATGCTCAACTACAGCCAAATATTCAGGATTTTCCCAAATATGCACAAATTTATATCATATGCACCTTCTCGAATTTTAGTAGTTTTTTTCATGTGATACTTTTACTTTATCCATGTGTCATTAGTTCATTCGTTTTTCAATATAAAACCAAAAATAAGAAAACAAAAACACTGTTTTCTTCATTATTTGTCTCCAAAACCAAAATGAAAAAACGGATAACGATTTTTTTTTTTTTGATTTTGTGTTTAAATGAATAATGGAAAAAATGGATAATGGACCTTTCCTGTTTCCGTGATTTAAACTGAGATGCTGGACTGAACCAGGACTAAACCAGGACTAAACCTGAATTAAACCAAGACTGAACCAGGTTTAAATCAAGACTAAACCAGGATTAATCAAAACTAAACCAGGATTAAATCAAAACTAAACCAGGATTAAATCAAAACTAAACCAGGATTAAACCAAGACAAAACCAGGATTAAACCAAGACTAAACCAGGACTAAACTGGTCTCAGTCCCCGTCTTAGTTCTGGTCTGGTCCTGGTCTCAGTCCGAGTCTCAGTCCTGGTTCTGGTCTGGTCCCAGTCTCAGTCCTGGTTCAGTTCGGCATCGCAGTTTAAGTCACATAAATGGGAAACGTTTACGTGATGTTATCCGTTTTTTTCCATCATTCATTTAAACACACACACAGAAAAAAAAAAAAAAATTGTTATCCATTTTTTCATTTTGGTTTTGGAGACAAAAAAAAAAAAAAAAAGGAAGAAAATATTTTTTTTTCTTTTCATTTTCTTATTTTTGGTTTTATTTTGAAAAACTAATGATACAAGGATTTTACTTGAGTATTTTTTTTATTTTATATTTTCTTTAACGGTTCAAACCACATTTCTCACAATTAACACTGGTTTTATTGTGATTTACTGATTCTGTGCAATATTCTGTAGAGCTCTAATCACTGAATTATTATGAAGAAAAATATATATATACAAACCTGGAGCCAGAGTCTGAAGTTGTCCCTTTTTCGTCCATTGACCGTGCAATGAAACGACGCAGACTGTCCGGCGTTCACCTCAACTCCTTTAATCGTCAGGAAATGTGGCGTGTTCACTGAAAGAAAGAAGAAAAAAAAAAAATCACAAACACAAATATTTAGTTACGAAAATGTCTGAAATCCAGTCAACATTTGTGAGGTTTTAATCTAATGTATCACTATTTCTCCAGTCTGTGCCAATCTCCACACACCCACTTTGAAAAATGTGCCAAGGACTGCATTTAACGGCGTCCAAGACCACAGCAAATTCACTTAAATAGATGGTGTTTCATAGTTTTAGTGATACCTGCCAATACCAGGAGCCTCCATCAAATTGTTAACAGCAGATCACAGAAAGCGCAGATTTTGTTTCCAGTTGAGATATTTGTAAAGTAGAAGTAAATAAGTCTTTTCACTTAATTATTTTTTTCCCTACCAAACTGTGTATATGGTGGTTTTAAAGTAATCCAAGTCATTTTTTTGGCAACTTTAGAGTAAATATGGTGCATTTGCAAGTTTCTGGTCAAAAATGGCTAATTCTAAAGTTTATGCTGCCTTTAGTGGACTCTGTGTTTTCAAGTAGTTGGTGACATCACAAAACACTGCTGCCCTGATTACAGTAATGTTTTTCTGTACAAATAACCAGCTGCAGGGATGGAATCTGAAGTGTGGATATTAGGGATGGGCATGATAAGTCGACTAATTGGCAATTGATCATTAAGAATTTCGTCGATCATGTTCATTTTTAATCGACAAACTGAATGTAGGTTGCTGTGCGTAGCGTAAGGAAACGAGGCTGCGTCTGACAGCATAAACAATGGAGTTGCGTCCTCGCAGTCCCACGTTTGGGCTCTGGCACCTTCTTGGAGATCACTGAACCACTCAGTGTGTTCACAAGAACATCAGTGTCCCGGGTATGATCGGGTTTTTTGAGTATCTCGGTTTCGTCGTTTCAACGCAGTATCCTGGTTACTGCAACATAAAGTTGAGTGCGCATGCGTCCAAAAGACACTTTTCAGTCTTTTTATCACAGTAGTAGCCAAAATAAATAAAGTGAACAACATAAATAAACTGAGTGAAATGTTAAATAAAGAGCTGCGTTAAACATGAACCATCTCCAACGTGATATATCATCATCAAAATCCCTCTATCACAGAAAGAAAACCTATAATCCACTGAGTCGTGTCCTTTAGTCCGACAGAAGCTGAACCGCATCAGCGCACAAGGAAAGAGCTGTTTTGTTTTTTTTTTTTCAGCACGTATAGTTTATGCAAATGAGCCATGTGGTTTTAAGTTTCATTTCTGTAAAACGTAAACAAAGGTGCGCAAAACTAGATTAAACACATTATAATTTCAAATGGGATGATGTGGCTCTTTAGTGGTTATGGTTTATATGTTGTAAAGTTGAGTTTATTTATGCAGATTAGTAATAGTAATAATAATGATGATAATATAAAAACGTTAATGATTAATCGAAAATGTATCATTTTAGAACATTTTATCGAATGCCCATCCCTAGTGGACACCTGTTGGACCAATCACAATAAGCTTTATAACATCAACTTTTAACACTGAGCTTTATAACAAGATATAACATGCCCTCATGGACCGATAGCTGACATTTTTCCAAGTGCCCACTTCAGCAGATAATATCACCTCCAGAAAGTTACATATCACCACTTTAACTACGTACAGAATATAATATATAGAATCTACTGCGGCCTTTATCACTTTTCATCTCTGCATAGTTAAATCATAAGACACCATTTCTATGTAAAGGTCTATTCTCTTTCCTAAGCACACTCATTAACGGTATCTTGATTGGGCTAGAAAATAACTTAAATAGAGCACGTTTGATTAGTATCACTTCACTGTGCGCGGAAATAGGCCGATTCAGTGGAGCGACCTTGAATCGGAAACAAAACGAAACCTCCAAAGACCAACACTAAAGCTAATTCACTCACTTACACTGTGGAGTAATTCAGATACAGACTCACACTCAAAATCAGATTAATATTTTAGGAGTTATAAGACCATTAAAATGACAGGAAAGCAGGAAAAATATCTGGTTTATTTCTGATTATGGTTCCTCTGATTTTGGTCCCCAAAAACAAGGCGAGACCAGATTTTAACATCATTTATAATATTTAAATTTTGGAGTTAAGTTTACAATTTTGGCATGTTTTTATTTGCTTTATTTACATTGTTGCTAATATAATTGGCAGCGATTTTCAAAGATCTCAAAAAATGTAAGTCAAAGCACTTAACGCCCTTTTTCGTCCAATCCAACTTTAAAGATGCATTGTGTAACTTTTCTGGTCGAGGATCTGTCAAATGCTTTTCTCCATGGAGATGTTATTGCTTTGTCTGTTAAGCGTCACAGTATGGCCTTTCTATCTTCATGGAGACCAAACCAGGCCAAGTTACAGGTCAGATCTGTGGAGAGGCGACTCCCGCTCACAGTCTGAATGTCTTTTTTGAGCAATAAAACCACCTGCAATTGAATAAATGTATAGTAGAGCTGTTTAAAGTCATACTGTGGGACATTCCAGGCAGAGCAAAGACATATCCATAGAAACAAGCAGATGACTGACCTCCAACCGAAAAGTTACACAGTGCACCTTTAAACACACTCTCAAATCTTATCAATCTTGTTCTGTCTGTCAAGATCTTGTGGATCTTCTCATTTAAATAATCTTTAATGCCCAGAAATCAGATTATTATCAGATTTGTGTGTGCACGTGAACAAAGACAGCATCCCAGAAGTTGGAAAAATTATCCAATTGCATTTTTTTTTTTATCTAACAGGCATTGTGATTGTGGATTTGTGGTTTGTCTTTGGATAATACGAGTGTGTAAGTTCAGATCTTAAAGCTGCACTGTGTAACTTTTCTGTTGGAGAGTCCGTCACCTGCTTGTTTCTATGGATGTGTCATTGCTCTGCCTGGAAACTTCCACAGTATGACATTAAACAGCTCTACTTTACATTTATTCAATTAAAGCTGGTTTTATCGCAAAAATACCTAGAAAAACAGGTATTCTGACTGTGAGCGGGATCGCCTCGACACAGATCTGACCTGTAACTTGGTCTGGTTTGGTCTCCATGAAGACAGAACGGTTTAATGCCATACTGCGAAATATTCCAGACTAAGCAATAGCATTTCCATGGAGAAAGAACACAGATGTATAAAACTACAGGGTTTAGCAGCTTTTTATGCAGTATAAGACAAAATATTATGTTGTTAGTGGAAGAAATGATGGTACTTCAAAAACAGCAGCTACTGTGATTTGCAAATTGTGGATCGTTTTTGTTTTGCTTTCAGATTTCAATGAATCTTCCAGCCTACGTGTATTTTATTTTAAATGTGGGATTGTTTTTAATCTGTGTAAAGCACTTTGTGTTATATTTTTGTATGAAAAGTGCTTTATAAATAAAGTTTGATTTGATTTGATTTGATTTGATTAGTGACAGTAGTAGTAGAGGTAGTAGTAGACGTACTGGTGGTAGTAGAGGTAGTAGTGGTAGTAGTAGTTGTAATAGAGGAAGTAATAGTGGTGGTAGTAGTAGTAGTAGTAGTAGTAGTAGTAGCAGTAGTAGTAGTAGTAGTAGTGATGATGATGATGGTAGTAGTTGTAGTAGTAGTAGAGGTGCTGGTTGTAGTAGTGGTAGTACTTGTTGTAGTAGAGGTAGTAATAGTGCTAGTAGTGGTAGTAGTGATGATGGTAGTAGCTGTAGTAGTAGAGGTAGTAATAATAGTGAGAGTAGTAATAGTGCTAGTAGCAGTAATGATGGTAGTAGTTGTAGTAGTAGTAGTAGTAGTAGCAGCAGTGGTAGTAGTAGTAGTAGTAGTAGTTAGTAGTATTAGAGGTACTGGTGTTAGCAGTAGTGGTAGTAAAGGCAGTAATAGTAGTGGTGGTAGTAGTGCTAGTAGTAGTAGTGTAGTAGTAGTAGTAATAGTAGTAATAGTAGTAGTAGTAGGTAGTAGAGGTACTGGAGGTAGTAGTGGTAGTAGTAGTTATAATAGAGGTAGCAATAGTGGTAGTGGTAGTAGTAGTAGTAGTAGTAGTAGTAGTAGTGTAGTAGTTGTAGTAGTAGTAGAGGTGCTGGTTGTAGTAGTGGTAGTAGTTGTAGTAGTAGAGGTAGTAATAATAGTGAGAGTAGTAATAGTGCTAGTAGCAGTAATGATGGTAGTAGTTGTAGTAGTAGTAGTAGTAGTAGCAGCAGTGGTAGTAGTAGAAGTAGTATTAGTATTAGAGGTACTGGTGTTAGCAGTAGTGGTAGTAAAGGCAGTAATAGTAGTGGTGGTAGTAGTGCTAGTAGTAGTAATGGTAGTACTAATAGTAGTGGTGATGGTAGCAGTAGTAGTAGTAGTAGTAGTAGTAAGTAATAGTAGAAGTAGTTTTATAAGAAGGACAAATAGTAGTAGTAGTAGTAGTAGTAGTAGTAGTAGTAGTATAGTAGTAGTATAGTAATAGTAATAGTAGGAGTAGTTGTATTAGAAGGAGAAAGTAGTAGTAGTAGTAGTAGTAGTAGTAGTAGTAGTATATCTTGAAATAGTAGTTGTGTGTCAAAAGGACAGATGTGTTTTTCCTGCTGATAATGACTGCTTTAATGACAGAGGCAGAGGAGACAGGACCCCCGCTGGGCCCATCACACCTCCAGGAGCCAGGGGGCCGGTATTATTAGAAAAATCAATTGGGCCACATCCACACCAAGTCAAGTGCTACAAGAGCAAGGGGAAGTACGTGTATTATGTAGTACTAGTCCTTCTAATCGTAATGAGGGTACGTAATGATGTAATGATGAAACTGTGTCGGTTGTCGCATCAGCATTGGTAGCAAAATTAATATACAGTAGCCTAGTAGTAGTAAGTTGTTCATGGTTTGAGTCAAAAGGTTTTACAAACATTAAATTGTTTTATTTTTATATAAGCTCTGGAACGCTCTGCCCCCCGCCCCACGTCTGAACAGCAACACAGTGTTTTGAGTTTTGTATTAAGACCCATTTTTACTCTCTGGGTTTTTGCTCCTCTGTGTCTTTTATTTAATTGTACTTATTTATGTTGTACTTGTTGTT